GCAAACTTAATTCTCCATGAAGCAATTCTTTATGTTGTACCACTCATAAACAAGAGAGAATCCCTATAGTTGCAGTACTGGATAACACTATTGTTGGGGTAAGCAACATTATGCAAAATATAGAATGGAAATAAGAAATAATAAGCTAAAGACATACCAACATAATAATACTTCCTCATATTTTAATAACTCTGCAAACCACCCCTGAATCTACCAGGTCCATATACCAATTCAAACATTGTTTTTATCTTGTTTTTTTTAAAATTCTTATCTCTTCTCATCCTCTTGAAGATCTTATTAATTCCAGCCAAACTTGATTACTTTCCCCTTTCTCTCAGCTAATTCACATTCTTAAATGCATATATAAGTAGTTTTGTATAACAACTGCTTTAGAAATGAACCATTCATAGTTATGATGATGAAAAAGTAGCTTTGCAATCATTGACTAAATTTAGATTTTCACAGCATTTATCACATTTGCCATTGCTGCCAGTTAAGTACACACTGTTCTGACACATTCCCCCTCTCCCCCCCCCCCCGAGAAATCACTGAAAGAAGCTATCACCACCAACACATCACATTCCTAAAAAATACTAACTTTCTTAATTGGCTGGCAGCAACTGACTAAAATTAACAATTAATCAGTTTCACACTAAAGGCTTTTGTTAAATTCCTAGTGTCTTCTACTTGATTAGTTTCAATGTGTATTCCTCATTGTGTACTTGTGATCTTCTAATCCCAACCTCTCCAATGAATGTAAACACAAACATTAATTCTATTTTTGCTAATTATCATAGCACTGCAGTAAGCATTCCAAAGGGAGAAGTGGGAAAAAGGGGCTGTAAGTTCCCCCCCCCCCTTTTACTCGATTTCCTTATGAGTTGAGTTCTGAAAGCCTTCCTGGCTATACGAGCTGACCTCGCCATTTAGGTTTCTATCCTTCTGATACTCTATAGCAAGGAAAGCTGAAATAAAATCCTAACAACAGTTTGTGTTCATGACTTTGTTAATGACTGAGTTGCTGGTTCCAATTGCGGTCACTTATGTGGACATCTGTAGTTAGCTAACAAATATCTTTATTCATTCTTTATATAACCAAATCACCTCAATATATTTCTTTTATACTGGTCACTCATTTTTGTTTTCAATTTATGTTAAATACTTTGTTAATTTTATCTTGCTTTGGTTTAACACACACACACACACACTTAAGTAATCTATTTCTATTCATTCAACTTACTCTTCAGCTTCTCTTTTAAACTACCGTATTTTTCGGAGTATAAGACATCCCTTTTCCCCTCAAAAAAGAAGCTGAAAATCTAGGTGCATCTTATACATGGAATACAACATTTTTTGCCTCTGAAACCCCGCCTCCTTCACCAAAATGGCCATGCAGAGCCTGTAGGCGGCTTTCCGAGCTCCTGGGGGCTGGGGAGGGCAAAAATGAGTGAAAAAAGGGCCATTTTTTGCTCAATTTTGCCCCCCCCATCCACAAGTTTTACCAAGATACATAAATTCCTCTAATGCTCTACTACTCCACTATGTATTTTTATTGCATTTTCCCTATCAAATGCAGCTACTTTACTTTTCAATTGTTTTTTCAGATCAATGCTTTACACAATCTAACCTTTGCTAAAGATCATTCGGGTTTTAGTCAATACACCTTATCTGCCTACAAAAGTACACATACATTCACTTCCTAAAATCAGAATATCTCTAATTAATCACCAAAAATATTTTTATGAATTTATAAACAAAGGGACATTACAGATCCTTGGTTCAATGTTAAATTATTTACTAATCATACTATTTACAGTATCTACATGCAAACTGCACACACTATATACGCCTCTTATTTCATTTAGCAACCAACCTGCATTTCCATATATATGGGCAAAGATCTCAAAATTCAAGTCTATTTACTTTATATGCTTTCCCTGAATTAACACAATCATCTCTGAATTAACACAATCATCTCTGTCACATTCACATATTTCTCAATGACTTCCTGAATGCAAAAATCTGGTTGCATGTACCCTGCCTGGTGTAAATAATGCTGTACTTTGTATGCTTGTTCATTGTCATCTCTGTCTCCTATCTTTCTGTTCAGAATTCTGCCCAGCACTATTATAGAAACTCTTACTAAGACCTCTATACTTCTGAATTTATTCATTATCTTTTCATTTGTACAAGTGAACAGTACACGTATTCTTTCAAGTGTCAGACAGAAGTGAAATCATCACATGCCTGTTAAATATATTGCATAGATATTCCTTAAGCAAACTGCACTAGCATTTAGTATTTCTCCAGCTATATATCCACACTTGCAACCTTAAAACTTTTAAACATTTTACAGCACTTTATCTTAACTTTTATGTTTACTTTCCTACATTTCCTTTGCCTCTTTTATTCTTAATAATTCGTTCCCTTCCTTAATTAAATTCTTTGTAATTTCTTGTCTCTATTACATAAATATTACTTTACATATGTCAGGGTTCCAAGTAAGATCCCTAACAGGCTTCCAGGCCTGACAGCATACTTCTTTTTCTCATTTATAGCTTCTTCCATCTATCAAACATACTTTTTCATATTTTTACTAGCATAACTCCATATATTTCTCTGGTACCATATTTCTTTTCATTCTGCATCAAGCAAGTTGTATAACTGATTTCCTTATGTCCATTTTACATTCATCTTGTTTGCAGATTACACAAGTTTCTAATACTTTTTATGCAGGATAAATACTTTTTTCTTTCTTCAATAATTTATATTTCCATTTTTGCTTTACTTATTTTCTTTTCTTCTTTGCCCCTTTTTCCATAAAATCCAGTTTTGACACACACATACATACAAAATGTTCTTTCTACATTCAGAACTTTTCATCATCCTTGCATTTTTCATTAATTCTCTTAACATTTCACCAAAAATCATGAAATTATTCATGTAGTTTATACTTATACTCATTCCTTTCCCGAGTGAATGTATAAAAGACTAATGATTCAAACACAAATTCAAAAGAGATGACCTTTTATAAATAGACACACATCAGTCATAATTCTCATTCCTTTCGGACCAAACAGCCCAATCACGTAACCTATACTTGTTCTAGTTATGCTATATTAGAATCAATCCCCCCGCCCCCAAAAAACACTTTTGCAAATCATGGAAGAAGCTGGGTTATGGGTAAAAATAAGAGTGAAAAAGAAAAAATAGAAAGTTTAAAGAAAAATAGGAAAATGAACTGCAATTTATAGTGCAGCTAAACAAGTAGTTTAGTTAGGTTACTCAACAATGAGACACTGATAGTGGGCACAGCAGTGCCTGAATTTTCAGTGTCGTATGAAAAGAGCATATCTTCCTTCCCCTGTCCTTACCACTTTCTATAGAGGGAAAATTGAAAGCATACTGTTATATTGTATTACGGTTTGGTTTGTAAGTATTACTGCTTGGGAATGAAGGTTATACACAGAGTGGCAAGGACGGCAGAAAAGATTATTGAAAATTGACTTCCTTCTATCCAAGGCATAGCATATAAGTGATGCTTAACCAGAGTCTGCAGTATTGTCAGGGATGCTACACATCCTCTCGATGACCGTTTTTATTTGTTACCTTCTGGGAGGAGGCTCCAGTTTCTGAAGCAGAACAACTGGATTCTGTAATAGCAACAGCACTTAGACTTATATACCGTTTCACAGCCCTAAGCGATTTACAGAATCAGAATATTGCCTCCACCAATCTGGATCCTCATTTTACTGACCTCAGGAGCATGAAAGGCTGAGTCAACCTTGAAACAGTCAGGATTGAGGGAATCAAACTCCTGGCAATATGAGCAATGTTAGCCTGCAATACTGCATTCTAACCACTGTGACACCAAGGTTCTTAATAGCTTTGACCCATATAGTATTAAATCTTGTTAACTCTCAAGACCTTTGCTTCCACGATGTATTAAAGATGAACTGTCATTAATGTATGCATGTGTTATTTTATCTTATAGATTACTTTTTTCTGAATAATTTTTTTGAAAATATTCATTTCTAAAACTTTGTTGAAGGGGAAGGTGAGGTTACAGCATTTGTTTTACATGAAGTACACTTCAGAATCTTAGATTTAGATTCAGAATTTGAATGAGACTAAAAATGTAGAACTGTTCAGGCACCAACACACCTATAAAGAATAAATGGATTTCTAAAAAAAGAATTTTGTGCTATTTTTAAAATATCAAAAGGATGCTGATTATTAGAAAATAATGCTGCTATAATAATTTTCCTATTTTATTTATACGTAATCAGTGTTAACAGCAATGTTCAAGTTAACTTTTGGGAGTTTTCATATTTATCAAATTCTCTCCCCAGTAAAATGAACAATTCACTTATTTCTTTCCAACTAGTTAATTCACAGTAATTGGAAACTTTGTACAGACACTGGTAAAACAAAATATAGTTCACCAAAACCACAAGTGAACCGAAACTGCCAGACTATCTGAAAAAACTCTATAGAAGTACTTCTTAGACTTGTGTTTGGGCAGAATGAGTATCATAGCAGTATATTTGCTGTATTAGAAGACATGGGACAGAGTGATTGGAAAGCCTAGATAAATCATACAGATTATACTTTCCAAATTCCCGAAGTCAGGGCAAAGACTTATGCTTCTCTATAGCTCCAAACCTTGAAATGTTGAATTATGTTTTATATTCTAATTGCTTCAGAAATTCAAAAGAACACAGGGTTCAGCCTTTCTCTGATGGACTTATTTCTTCAGAAATGCTTCCTATTATGATTATCAGTAACACTCAGGTTTTAAGAGTATGGTCATTGGATATAGTACAAAGATAAAAGAAAAAAAATATTGAAAAAGTAGTCTTGGTTCTTTATGGATTGAGCAAAACTACCCTACTTTCACAAAGGTATCAACTGACTTTCTATCTGTTAATAGAAAAAACACTACTGCTATGGCCAGCCTAAGCATTTAAACAAGAGATGTAATCTTGGACTTGCTAAAAGGGGCAGTGCAAGAACACATGAGCAGTTATTTCTAGAAAGTGATTAAATAATGACATAAATGATCCAATATTGCTGTCCCTTCCTTCTACCATCCTAGATGATATCATTAATCCTCACTATGGTGCTTGCTATTACAGTAGATATTTTGTAAATGGGAAAATAAAATGTCTCCTATTACAGGAGAAACAGCCCTATCATTTCCATTCACTACCAAGTGAAACTTAAGGTATGTAAACTCAGACAAAATTGTCAACAGTTTTATATACCTGTTCTCTTTTTAATTTTTCTCGTTTTCGTATAAGCTCTATTAATAACCGTGCTCTTTCAAGATCATGACGAAGTCTTTGCCAGTACTTCAATTTCTCTTTTAAGGCTTGTGTTTCTTCATCATCTTCCCTCTTAAGAATGAAAAAAAAATCATGTATTTGTTAGTTTAATTGTAACATTAAGTAGCTACTAACTCTATTGCAAAAACAATTGTTAGTACATTTTGCCTACAGTACAAAATTATTGGCAATGCTTTTTTATCATGTAAAACACAGTATCTCAATTTTGTATTTACACTTAATTTAATTCATATATTTTACTCCTTGTGTAAAATATAAGCATTCACATAATTTATATTATTCATAATTATAGTGGTATTGGATAATTTTACCCATACATTATTCACTCAAATATGCCAAATAAGTTAATGGTATGTGAAGTAAGGAAATAAAGGTACCTGTTGCGTGTTTCTTTGTGACTGCAAGCTGGACTGTAGTCTTCTCAATAAAGGAACACCATTTCTGGACAATCGTTTAAGTAACCAGTAACTGTGGACTCTTTCTACAAATTGCTTCTTTCGCTGAATTGCCACCTGATTCATAATTTTATTTAATCTGAAACAGGAAAGAAAGTAGCATTATTTTAAAACAGCACTGAACATATTTTTAATTACAAAGCTGACAAGATTTTATTATTGTTTCAAAAATATTCTACTATGTGAACATCATACGGTTCTCTATTCAAAGAAAAACTTTGGGCAAATATATATATTCTTTTCAAATATTTTCCTAATATTGGATACTTGTGTCACAAATTGTTAGAAATCACTTCAAGTTTAAAAGATTTACTGAATATTAAACAATACATACATACATACATACACACACACACATTTAAAAACACACATATATATATAAACATTTTTGGCATGGTGAATTGGTTACAATTATTTAGGTTCAGAATACTATTATCAGTTACAGAAAAACTACAAAATCTATCACATTATTTAATTCTTTTGTACTTTGACGTATTTACTCAGATCTCCAGAGTAAGGTTACAAAACAAACTCTTAACAAACCACCAATAAGTAAATGAATATATTACAAATTTTGTTAATTATTTAACATTTCAGAGTAAGGTTACCAAACTCTCTCAACATTTAACTTTTAAACATTTAACATTTAACTGTATGTATGTATGTATGTATGTATGTAATATTTGTGCTGATAAATAAAGGGAGACTAGTATAGATCTATTTCAAGCTCTTTAGCTCTCATCAGCTAGCCATACCCTTGCTGGGATTCGAACCTGGGCTGTATTGCATATTAGGCAGATGTGTTAACCACTAAGCCACAGGCTCTCCTCCTTTATGAAATATATCTATATATATATTTGATATATATAACAAAATATAACAAAATAACAAAAAGGCCACCGTTAAAAATTTTGGTTTCTGCCT